TATTTGGTTTGATCAATATTTTGTTTTTGACTGTTTAGAATACAACATCTGTTTGGTTTGCTGTACTATGTTGAAGTTTGTGAGACATAATTGCTGTTTGGATTTTTGGCAGATGCAGTGTTTGTTCAATGGACAGTAGTTGATTAAGATTATCTGCATTCCAAATATCACACTCACATGCCCACACTAAGCACACTGCATACTCTGTCAAAATCATTTACTTCTCAACTTCTGTTTTAAGTTATTTGCTGTTATTAACATTTCTGCATTCCCTCATTAGCTCTTGAAAACCACCCTATGCATTCATTGCCCTGTTGTTATTAAGTTTTAATTGAGTGTTGAATTCTGGTTTGTGTGAAAGTCCTTGCTTTGATCCTGTCTTATTCTTGAAAATTGCTAGCACACATTTGCATTTCCTCTTGCTGCTAACTGTCACATGTGTTGACTTTTCATTCTACTTGTGTTGTCAATTTGTGTCTAGGTTTAAGGTAGAACTCTGTTAAGTATTATGTTGGCTTACAATTGGTTTAGTTGGGCATTTGATGCTGTTTCTATTTTTAAAATATTGATTTCTTGCTTGGAATGTAAAACATCATCAATTTACAGCATTTTTAACAGCAGGAGATTGGTGCTGTTAGCATTCAGGTTTATTTGAATGTTGAGTTTAGTTTAATCATGTGTGCTGTTTGTGCTTCAATGTTGTTTGTGTTTCAATGTGTCAATATGCTGTTTGTGTTTCAATGTGTCAATATGCTGTTTGTGTTTCAATATGTTAATGTACTGGTTGTGTTTCAATACCATATGTGCTGTTTGTGGTTAAAAAGAGAGAATCATTAAGTTTTGGGATATAATTTTAACTGTTCGAAATCTTGTTCTGCTGCAACCTATGTGGATTAGTGATTAAAATTCTGTCAAAACGTCATGTATGTTTGCTTGATCAGTTTTGGAAAACAGTTCTTGGTTGTAACTTGGATGAGCACTTGATGTTGTTTTGAGTTTTGATTGATATGCAAGCTCATTATTGTTTTGTTTCCATGATATGCAAATTGATGGTTTTGCTGGTTTTGTTGGAAAACTGAACTTGTTCTTTGGTTTCGATCCATAATTATTTGGTTGCTAAACATGATTAAATCTCTGTCTATGCATACTTACATCAGTCCAAACATTTGACATCCATTTTGCATTTCATGATTTGTAAAGTTTGCAATTACATTCACATGTTAAATTGCAAGTATGAGTGGGAGGTTTGGATGCCATGTTGTTCTCCTCATTCAAAAACGGTTGGAGTAGACATTTGAATCAATCATTTTCATGTAATCTCATTACCTCCCCATCAGCTTTTGCTTTCCATTTGTTTTTTTTTTACTCAGAAGTTTTCGCAGCTTTGCCATGTATATGCATTGTTTCCTTCTCTAATCACAAGTGATACCACTGCCCCAGTGGTAAGACAGGCGTGTGATGGCCCCTTGTGCCCCGGTTCAAGTCCTGCGTGGGATTAAAACTATTCTTTTTATTCTTTTCCTTGTTATTTCGCTCTCATCTCTTTTATGTTTCTCTTTCCAATACTCATCACCACGCGCTGGATGCCCTAGTGGTAGCACTTGGAGACTTTGAACATTAAGGGAGTGGGTTCAAACCCCACCCTCTTGCATTTTGATCTTATGTTATTTCTTTTATTTTAATTACCTTATTATTTTTAAAAAAAAAAAAGAATCAATAAGCTTTCACATGATAATTTATTTTTAATATTACTTCTCTTTAATAAAAAATAGTAATATCTCAAATCAATGAAAATTTCTAGGACCTTGGTTTTCCTTGAAGTCGATCCCTCATTTAGGGTTCGCGCGCGTGTCATCTTGAAACCTTTTCAAAAAATTGAATAATAAATTATTTCTCTTTGTATTGAATTAAAAAGAGAGGATTAGGTGTAGACCTCTTCCTCTCCGAATGTTGGGATGCCCACTGTAGTGAGGGTGGTCTGGATATTCGTCTTTCAATACGAAGACGCGACTTTATTCACCATCTCGTTTTCACAGCTTTATCCCGTAACCTTTCTCACCTAAAACCTCGGTCTCGCACCAAGTGTTTTTTTTCAAACTCTTTTTTATAAAACTTGAATGGTCGTGGAGTGGTTAGGCGTAGGCCTTCTCCTATCCCGAGTGCTGACGTTTACCGTAGGGTTCTCTGTCGCAAGGCACTTACCATTCAAAACCAAAAACACTTTAATAAGAGAACGAAACTCTCTCTTATGTTGAATTAAAAAGAGGGGATTAAGTGTAGACTTTCTTCCTCTCCGAGTGTCAGGATACTCACTGTAGTGTGTGTGGTCTTAACGCCCGTCTTTCAATACAAAGACGCCTCGTTCGCCACACCTTTTTATAACAAAAACTTTGAGATAAAGAATTGGGTACTACCCGTAGGGGTTACTATCTGAGGACATATCTCGCCCCCTAAAAACAATCCAATCAATCAAACGTGACTTCTTGCCCCGCGTGGCGAAAACTAATCAGTCTTTCAAAAAGGATATGTTACGGCCGTTCTACCGCAAACAGGTAACGCCTAAGTCTCCAACGAGCGAGCAGCAAAACACCTAACTGCTAGAATGCGCACGATAGCATCATCCATAAAAAACATCAACACATCGTAGGCCGAACTACGGCTGCTCTGATTCTTTACTTTCTCAAGTAAAGATACGTAGGCACAAGGGCCACAATCCTTGCCGAGCACACTTTCCCCCAATATCTGTAGTTCCCCGAACTACGTCGACTCTGACTTTCTCGCATCTGTTGAGAATACGTAGGCATAGGACTGCGAAGTCCTACCGAGTCTGTTCTCTCTCCTTTCTTCCTCGTTACTTCTCTTTCTCCGTTTCTAAACCTTTCTCTCTATCTTGTGGAACACTTCTTATAGCATAATGTTTAAGCAAATAAATTCACACATCGACAAGCAAAAGGTTCCCATCGAGTACGATGGATGCGAGGGGTGCTAATACCTTCCCCTCGCATAACCGGCTTCCGAACCCATTCTTGGTTGCGAGACCATCTTATCCATTTTCTTTCTTAAGGTTTTCTCGATGTTTTCCTTTCCCCTCACGGGATAAAATAAAGTTCGGTGGCGACTCTTCTGTCCTATCTTTTCGCCTCCCCGTCGTTGCGCGATGCATTTTTCGAGTAGCGACAGGGCACAATAAAGAAAGCGGAGAACCCAATAAAGAAATGGATCCCCAAAGAGAAGAAGAACCAAGACGAGAGGGTGGCTACAAAGGAAGCAGAGACCTTGAAGACACCAACACAGAAAATAGCAATACAGGAACATCCTAAATCCGGAGCAATCGTGCAAATGACGAACAGTAAACAAACATGTAAAGATGAAGATATACCGTGGACATAGGTGAGGAGAAAAGACAAAGATAAGGCCAACGGTATTGATACGGGTACAAGTCCAAAAATCAAGAATCCAACGAAGAACTACGGGAACTTTTATGCAGCACTCGGGGATGGTTCAACCTCGGTGTTCCTAGAAGATGTCCCATGATTGTCTCTTGGAACATTAGGGGACAGAATAAAGCAGGCAAAGTTAGGGAGGTCAGCTCTCATCTCCAAAAACTAACCCCTGCAATCTCTGTTTTAATCGAGACAAGAGTAAAGGCGAAGAATGCAATTCGTATTTGACGAAAACTGAAATTAAAAGGTAACTATATGGATAACTATTCAAACCATGAAAATGGAAGAATATGGATCCATTGGGATGGTAATAGAAGGAACATGGATTTGGTGGAGAGCACGGATCAGTTGATACATTGTAAGGTCAATGATGTCAATGGCAATTTCCTATTTTGGATGACAGCCATTTATGCACAAAACCAGCTGCAACGCAGAAAGGAATTGTGGCGTGACATAGAAAAGATAAATGCACAACATAATGGACCTTGGATCCTAGTAGGTGATTATAAAAATGTGATGAAAACTCAAGACAGATTTGGCAGTAATGACGTTACAGAGCATGAATACATAGACTCGATTGAGATGATGAGTAAAACGGGACTATATGAAAAAGAGAGTGGGGGAGACTACTTCACATGGTCGAATAAACAGGGAGATAATGCTATTTACTCTAGAATTGATCATGTCCTTTACAATGCTGAGTGGCTGCAATAATATGGAAATACAACATTAACGAATATGAACCCCAGCTTATCTAATCATGCCATGCTTGTGTTACACGACAATATTAAAGTCCAACAGCCTAGCAAAGGACTTAGATTCATAAACTACTGCGCAGACTTGGATAATTTCCATGAAGTTGTCAAGAACAGTTGGTACATTCCGTTAGAAGGAAGACCAATGTTTGTTGTATGGAAGAAATTGCAAAGACTACAACCTCACATCAGGAAATTAAGAAAACCATTGGCTAAGCTTCACAAGGAAATTACACGAGCTCGAGAAGATCTGAACAAGGCACAAGATAATTTAATGACAGATAGATTGGATGGAGATAAGATTAACATGGTTAAAAGATGTTCTAAAAATCTTATTATTTTGCAGGAATTGGATGATAGTATGGTGAGGCAACGAGCAAAAATTGATTGGCTGCGACTTAGTGACGACAATAACAAATATTTTCATGCCTCTATAAAGATGCAACAACAACTCAAAAACATGACAAAACTTCAAAGAGTAGATGGAACCATTGTTACAGATCAGCAAGGAATGGAAAATGAAGTAATATCATTCTACAGGAATCTGATGGGTACAAAACTGAACGAACTTGAAGGCATTGATATAAAAGCAATGAAGAAAGGCAGGCAATTGGAAGCTGTGTAGAGGGATATGCTGACGAGTCATGTAACCGAAGACGAAATCACCATAGCTCTAAAAGGAATTGGTAATGATAAGGCACCTAGAATTGATGGTTTTGGAGCCTATTTTTACAAGAAATCCTGGAATATTATTAAACTGGATGTTATAGCAGTTGTACATGATTTTTTCAAGCATAACCGTATGTACAGAGCTGCTAACTGCTCAGTTGTCACTCTAATTCCTAAGCACAAGGGTGCGAAAGAGATACAAGACTATCGACCTATTGCGTGCTGTAGTACCCTATACAAAATCATATCCAAGATTTTGGCCAACCGACTCAGCAAAGTACTAGGTATGATAATTGGTGCGAATCAAGCAGCATTTGTCAAAGGGCAGAGAATTCATAACCATATTCTAATCACGTATGAATTGATTAAGGGATACGAAAGGAAGAATATTTCTCCCCGGTGTTTAATGCAAATGGACATTCAAAAAGCATATGATGCGGTTGATTGGAATGCGCTTGAAAAGATTTTTAATGAGGTGGGATGCCCACAACAGTTCACTAAATGGGTGATGACAATGGTATCAACTATTTCTTATAGATTTAACATAAACGGGCATCAAACTGACATCATGGCAGCGAAACGGGGGCTTAGACATGGTGACCCGATATCACCTATGTTGTTTGTCATTGTAATGGAATGCTTGAACAAATACTTAGACAAGATGCAGGAAGATTGTGACTTCAATTATCACCCTAAATGCGATAAATTGAAAATCACGAACCTTTGCTTTGCGGACGACTTGCTTATGTTTTCCAGGGGAGATAAGGTTTCGGTTGAAATGATGATGAAGACTTATGGGAAATTTTTGAAGGCTACAGGTCTTGCAGTGAATCCACAGAAGTGTCAAATTTATTGTGCTGGCATGGATGAGTTGACAAGGCAAAATGTTATTAAAGCCTCTGGGTTCCAAGAAGGTCGGCTTCCTTTTAAGTATCTGGGGGTTCCGGTTACAGGTAAAAAACTCTCTATGCGCCATTATGCACCATTAATAGACAAAATCATGGGCAAGATAAAACATTGGACTACTCGATTATTGACCTACGCGAGGAGGCTTCAACTCATAAACTGTGTTATGTTTGTGATGACAAATTACTGGCTAACTTGTTTCCCTTTCCCCAAAACTGTTATACATAAAATTGAATCGATTTGTCGCATTTTCCTCTGGACAAGAGGTTTTGAGGGGAGCCGTAAAGCACCCGTAGCGTGGAAACAGGTTTGTAGTCCACGCAGTCATGGCGGGCTGAATGTCATAGACATTAAAGTTTGGAATAAAACAACTTTATGAAGCTGCTATGGAACTTGAGTGGGAAAGAAGATTCGCTTTGGGTTAAATGGATACAAACGTATTACATCAAAACCAACAAACTGATGGAGATCCAGTGTAATAAGAGTGATTCCTAGATAATTAAAGGTATACTCAATCTAAGGGAGCAGTTTAAAAACTTGGGAAATCTGGAAGAACTCAAGATGGGGGGGGGGGGGGGGGGGGGAATTAAAATGAGCAGACTGTATGTGAAACTACACAATTGTGGGAAGCCGGTAGAGTGGAAGAATTTAGTTTATGGGAATATCGCGAGACCAAGAGCCAATTTTATTTTGTGGCTTGCTTGCCATGGAAGATTAGCAACGAAAGACATATTGCTTAGGTACGGTATGATTGATAATAATGAGTGTTGCTTCTGTGCGAAGGAAGAAACATTAAACCATTTAATTTTTGAGTGTGAAAGTCTAAAGAACGTATGGAAAGAGATCCTAAGATGGGCACAAATTAACCATACCCCTGGAAGTTGGCATATCGAGGTAAAATGGCTTATTCAGCAAACAAAAGGTAAATGAGTCCGAGTTGCAGTCATAAAAATGGCAATATCTGAGACCATCTATGAGATTTGGAAGGCTAGAAATAACAAAATTTTTGGAGAGACGACTAAGATCACTATAATAGGAAGAAAAGTAATAGATACTCTGGTGTATAGAGGATGGAATACTAAGAAACTCAGAAAGTATATAGCTATCTTAATGATAAAGGGGGGGACAGATAGTTAGTTAGTTTGTTCTTCCCTTTTTGTCCTAGGATGTCTTGCTTTGTAGCTGGATCTGCTGGGATCGCTTGTATTTAAAGACAATTTTTGATTAATAAAGTATTTTATTTTTAAAAAAAATGTTTAATTATATATATATATATATATATATATATATATATATATATATATATATATATATATATATATATATATATATAAGGTTATATCAATTTAAAATAATAATAATAATAATAATAATAATAATAATAATAATAATATACTAATTTAAAAATTGATGCTCCAGTTTCACAAAGGAACCATGGAAAAACCCCAAGTTCCACATTGGTTAAAGATAGAACCCACAAATGTTTTAAATAGAGTGACACTCCTCATCTTATAAGCCGATTTTATAGGATTGAGTTAGACTAAATTCTAATTCTATCATGGTATTAAAGCCTATCGATTTGGGTCACTCAATATTTATATATGCGCACCAAGGACAAAAAGTGCTTGGTGCAAGGAGGTGTGTTAGAAAAACCAAGGTCCATATATCGATAATTCGGACCACCCACCATTTATATCCACGCACCAAGCCCAATAATGCTGGACATGAGAAGGTGTATTAAGAAAAATTCAAGTCCCACATTGGTTAAAGATATAACCCACAAGGCTCTGATACCATGTTAAGAAATGTGGTTGGGCCTAACTTAACCTACAAAACCAGCTTGTAGAGTGAGGTTTGTCCCCACTTATAAACACATGGTATCAGAGCCTGGTTTAAAGATCTGGTGGGCCACCTACAGTGAGGTTTCCACTATTAGGTTACCCACCATTTATTTCCACGCTCCAGATGTCTAGTCCTAGGCGTGAGAGGGTGTGTTAAGAGTCCCACATTGGATAATATATGGCTTGAACATGTGTTTATAAGTGGGGGCAATCCTCACTCTACAAGCTGGTTTTATAGGGTAAGTAAGGCACAACCACGTTTCTTAACAAAGAGTGTTTGATAATAATAGTCTTGAATAATGGCTTTGATATCCTTTACAATGGCGCAGGATGAACCTGCATTGTTAGCACTCTAATGCCCAAGTCAGTTCAAGATTCAAGATAATAATGTGAAATTGGAGATCACATAATGTGCACCTTCTCATAGAATATGAATTATTTTAATATATTGAGACGCGTAGAGTGGGATTTTGATGGATTAACGTCCCACATTGGTTAAAGATATAACCCACAAGGCTCTGATACCATGTTAAGAAATGTGGTTGGGACTAACTTAACCTACAAAACTAGCTTGTAGAGTGAGGATTACCCCCACTTATAAACACATGGTATCAGAGTCTGGTTTAAAGATCCGACCGGCCACCTATAGTGAGGTTTCCGCTATCGGGTTACCCACCATTTATTTCCATGCTTCAGTTGTCTAGTCCTAGGCGTGAGAGAGTGTGTTAAAAGTCCCACATCAGATAATATATGGCCTGAACATGTGTTTATAAGTGGGGACAATCCTCACTCTATAAGCTGGTTTTGTAGGATAAGTTAGGTCCAACCACGTTTCTTAACAAAGAGAGTTTGATAATAATAGGCTTAAATAGTGGCTCTGATCTCCTTTACAATGACGCAGGGTGAACCTGCATTGTTAGCACTTTAACGCCCAAGTCAGTTCAAGATTCAAGATAATAAAGTGAAATTAGAGATCACAGAATGTGTAGCTTCTCATAGTATATGAATCGTTTTTATATATTGAGTCGAGTTGAGTGGGATTTTGATGGATTAAACCTTGGTCGATAAGATCTTTTGGCTGGTCTAGAACATTTCCCCCCAAAGCTTTACCAGACACTAAAAGAGCTGGCGTAAGCGTTAACTCTAGTTGACAAGCCTTTATATCATAGTTCGGTGTAAAGTAGAATTGGATCACTTATATCAGTTTTTTGAAAAGTAATGGGGAATAGGCGCACTTAATGCAGTTTTATCGTTGAGATGCTTCGACGCCCATTCCTGACACGTGCCATGATGTGACTAGGTAGGATGTGGCACAGTTCATAGAGTGCTTAAGTGAATTTGTGTATGGCGTGTTTTTCTGAGTGGAATTGTAGTCATTGATCTCATGACCTGTGTTAATCGTCGGCCTTGATTCTTTAATTGACATTGCATATAAATAGAGCAAGTTAAATAGTTAGAGGTTTTCACAACCTTTCAGCTTTAAAAATTGCAGTTACTCTACAAAATACATCTTCATTCCTTTTTTCCTGAGAACATTACTAAAAGTGATTCAGAACATTGTTTAAAGCTTTCTCCTTTTTCATTCATTCTTGCTTCATCAAGCTTCTTTACCAAGGTGCCCTTGTTTTATCTCGCCAAAATGCGCAACAATAATGCTGACTAAATAAGAGATTCAAAAATGGAAACCTCATCCAAGTCATCCTCTAATTTTCTTTATCCTTCTTTTAGTAGCGACCACACAAGACCAGAGGTTATAACCATATATGACAACTCAGGGTCAAAAGGGATGTTTGAGCCTACCTTAAAAGGAGAAACTTCTTCTTTAGGGTCGTTAAATACCCTTATATCAGATGTTGGTGGGAGAGTAAATCTCGTTGAGGTCCTTATTTCATTCCTACCTTGTTGGAATATGAGATACAAGTTAATCTGGAAAAGAGGGACCTTGCTAGAGATTTCATTCAGACTCACTTGCAGACCGTAGGTTAAGAGCCTAGCAATTTAGAGGCATTTAAGCATTTGAACCTTCAATGTCGGTGGGCAAGCCAATGTTTGATTGAGTAGATGTAAAGGTAGCAGATAGTTCCTCGGGTTTTAGCACTGAGTTTGTCCTTGGAAATGCTAACATTATGGTCAGAAACCCTTTGGAGTGGTCAGTTCTTCCACTACTATGAGAGAATAGGATATGCAACTATTTTGATGACTGCATGGTCCCATTTTATGAGTGTTTGTTTATAAAAGTAAAAACTCGGCTACCTTTTTCTGAATTTGAGGAAACTATCCTAAAACATTTAAGAGTTGCTCCTTCCCAGCTTCATATGGGATCCTAGGCATACATAAGGGTCTTCCAACTATGTGTCGAGCACAAGTCCTAGAAGCTTTCTCTTAATTTATTCTTTGGTATTTTTTATCTGAGACATACCCCCCAGATGATTTTAACAATCAGGGGTTACTTTACTTTCATTCGGTCTAGTGTTTGGCCCCTTCACTTTAGGGATGATTTTCTAGGACGTTTCATATTGGTGAAACTCTTCACCTCTACCGCTCATTCCTCTTTCTGCTACACCCCAATTGATTCTCCTAGATATTATCATTTTTCATATCTGAAGTATTGGTCCAAACTCCATATTAACTAGTCCACTCACTTCTATTCTACCATGCCAGGCTTTCTCTCTTCGAACGAGGTAGAAATGAAGGAGGTAATGCAATCTTGATTTCAGGGGCTTGGTTATGAGGAAGGGTTTTGCCTTGGTGTTGTTTCCTCTACCAAGATGAGGAAGAAGCAAATTGACACTCATGTTATCTTGAGTGCAGTTACTCTTGAGGAGAGGATGGAGATGTTCAGTAAGAGTATAGTCCTTATATTTTTTTATGTGTGTGGTTGCATTTTTCAAATAGCGTGTTGTCGCTACTGTGAAAATCGGCGCCGGCTGAACAGAAGAGTCGCCACCGTGCGTTATTTATCCCACGGGAGGGAAAGGAAACGCTCAGAGTAAACCTCGCACGACACAGGAAAGGTATGGTCGTAGCAACCAAAACCTGGGTTCGGGAGTCGGTTACGCAAGGGGAAGGTATTAGCACCCCTCACGTCCGTCGTACTCGACGGGATCCACGCTTGCTTTCGGGTATGGATTGTTATTTCTATCTAAACTAAGAGCTAAGGGTTAAAAAGAAAAGAAAATGACTCGGCAAAGTATCGCACTCTATGCCTACGTATTCTCGTCTGGAACGAGAAATCAGAGTCAACGTAGTTCGCCTACCTACGGGAAAGGAGGGGAAGGTTGCTCGCTAGGATATCGCATCCTATGCCTACGTACTTTCATACAACATGAAAGATCAGAGCAAACGTAGTTCGGGCCACGTAAGACACAGGCTTGTCTTGATTGTTTTTTATTCCTTCTGAAAAAGGTTTTCCTGATTACTGGTCCAAGCGGACAAAAATGACGTCTTGATGAGTTCACATTCTTTTACGGAAGAAGTGTCTTTTATTGTGTTTGGAATATTTATTGTGTTTTTCTGTTTGTTTTGAGAAAGAAGAGAC